GGTTCTTTTATCAAATTCATAATATTCATAATGAAACATACTGCAACTTTCATCTTTATTTTATTGGTTTGCTTATTACTAACTAAGTCCAATCTGTTAAAATTAAAACTATTGAAATCGATGAAATTCTCAAAACTGTCAAATGGTCAGAGTTTTAACTTCATCAAGTTGGATTAGAGTTTTGCCCATTTATTTTTTCTAATTCTTTTTTTTTATAATTAATTAGTTATTTTTTATATTTTTTTGGTTATTTGATCATTTCTTAATAGGTAGGTAATTACTCATTATTGTTTCAATTTTTTTCAATTTCTTATGTTTCTTTTTATTTGTAGATATTTTGAGCTTTTATACAAGTGGAAAGAACCTATTTCAATAGTATCCTTATCAAAAATATGTATAGCTGAATTTATAACTTCAAGAATATCTAATGAACTATTATTTTTAACAGTACATCTTTATCAAAAACAAAGCATATCATTTCTAGGATAATTGTAGAAATTATATAAATGAAATGCTTATTAGATCTGTTGCGCTTCCATTTTTTTTATTGTTAGATAATGATGATATTTGGTAGTAAAGGCTTCATATATTATTATTAACTTAAAGAATACCAGTCTATATAAAAGAAAATGTATTGAGAAATTAATTCAAAAAAATTAGAAAAAAAATTAAGTTTAAAATAGATTGCTGAATTCAGGAATTTAAAGTTTTTGTAATAAAAACTTTCTACTAACTTGTAAGAGAAAGATAAGATTTATCACTCCTATTAAAATGAATTTAATAGGTATAAGAAAGAGCTTAGCCTCAAAGTAGTATTAGACATGTTTATAAAAATTTTTTGAAAAAAATGGTTAAAAAAAATTAAATTAAAAAACACAAGGATCAAATTTACCTTCAATATTTTTAGATATTTATATCAGAAATGTCGATTAAAATCTTGTGTTTTTGATTGTTATGACACAAATCATATAATCCATATCAAGTGTTTAATAGAAAACTTACAATAATATACATAATAATATTTCTTATTAATAAAGCCACTCACATAATTTTTATTTGTTATTTGTTATTATAAATTATTATAAAGTAAGCAACGACCTGTCTTTTAAAAATTTATTAAAGTTCTTAATAATTTTAATTTAGTTTTTTTAAATTAAATATCTTTTGGATACAAAAAATATCTTGACAAGTGTAAGATTGTTAAAATTTATTAAATTTTTAAATAATTTAGAGTTTTTATAAAATATTAATAATAAAATAATTTTTATATTTAAACAATACATATTATTAGATATAAAAGTTTAATATAATATTATCATCTATTTGATGATAAATAAAGATTTCTCACGATTTGAGAAGTTATACAACTATATCATATCTTTTGAATTACAACTGAATTTTCAGATTCATTTATATAATTATACCCTTTAACTCTACTTAATCTCTAACTTTTTGTTTGTCTTACTCACTTCTTAATTATAAATTATTTTCAAATTTCAAATTTCTTTTAATATTGGGCTGGACAAAGCTTGTTTTCTATAATTACCTGATAAACTTTCAGATTTTAATGAAATCACTAGTAAAACTATAATAAACCTTATTAGCCAAACTGTCAAAATTTGAAACTATAATAAAATCCCGTCAACAATTAAAATTATATTAAAACTTTTTAACAAATCTGAAATATAAGGTGTCAACTATTGCCATTTGTTAAAATATGTTTGCCAGCAATTATATAGTTTTTGCAACTAGAATAAAAAATCTCACTGACTATAACTACTTAGAACTGAAAAACTGATAGTTAACAGCCGTATTATACCAGATAGCATAATACCTTATCAAAATAATACCTCTGCCAAGATAAACTAACAGCTCATTCACATCTGTGAGTTACTTAACTTCTTACTATAGATCTTAAACTCGTCGAACATAAAGAAGTTCTTGTAAATATTTAATTTTGTACAAAAATAATTATATTGAAATGAAGATTTTTGTATACCAAACATAATTCTCGATTCAGTATAGTAGTATGTAAATATATTAAATTTATCAAAATTATACTTTATTTTTCACTAATAACCTGAAATGAAATGATTTATAATTCTATAAATATGAACTTAAATTAACCTAAAGTAATTATTTGCGCTATAGATGTAAATGTTAAGTGTTAAGTGTATGGTATGTTGATATTAAAATTACGTTACAGATCATATAATCTATTATATTCGTAACTTGTAGCAAACCTCCTGTATACTAAAAATACATAAATCAATCTTGAATATTTAACAAGAATTACATTTAAATTGACATTTCAAATGGAATGATAAAAATTCAAAACTATACATGATATATGAAATTCAATGAGTCAAAATTTTTGATATTACATTTCTTTAGTTGATAACATTATTTATATGATTTATTATTTCCTTTTATTGATACTGTATTCTAATAAAAAAAATCAAATAAATATTATTAACAATATTACGAAGCATTATTTTTTATAAAAAGCAGAAATGTTAGCATTGCAAAAGAATTTACTGGTAAAGGTATATATTTTTCATAAATTTGTAATCACAGTTCATATTTAAAGCAAATTATTTAAGTTACCAGATCACTGCAAAATTATAACATTAAATATTGATTGGCTGGTAACTCAGATTGCTAGAAAAATAATTGATAGGTTATCAGGTTGCCAGAAAGTACTCAGCAATAAATTTGCCTACATATCTAATAACTTATAATCATTTAATCATCTGGGTTGACTCAGGTCAAGCAAAAACGTGACTCTAATCCAGAGGGTTTTTTTTGAATTAGAACTTGTGTCATAAAATGATAGCTTCTGACTTGAAAAAATATTTAAGTCAGATCAAACAACCTGAATTGACTCAATTGTTTTAGAACATTAATCATAAAGTTATTATAGATTATTTCAGATTAAAATGGCTTTTACTACATCAACAAAATATTATATTCTGTATATCAATAATGGCAATTGACCAAGTCATTTGACCATTTTAAAATGACCTTCAAATGACTTTTGAATAACTATGTCATTTTGGTTATTTAAAATAAGTCATTTTACAAATAACAAATGATCTTGCTTGACATTGTCGTTTGAATGTTATTTATGTTATTTGAAGTTATTTAGGTCATTTAAAATAATTTTTTAATTCAATTTTAGGATTAAGTATATATAAAATATTTTAGTAATTTATGATGAGTTTAAATTAATATAATGCATAAAAAAACAAAAAAAATTTTTTTATATAATGCATTCTATTAAAAAATTTGTTATTAAAAAAAATTTAAAGAATTTTTTCATGTGATTTTGTTAAATTATATTAATGAAAATTATCATTTATTAAAATCAATTGGCCATATTATTAAAAAAATTTGAATTTTATTAACTGGAATTGAATTAGCTGTAAAAATTCCACTATCAGTATACATACATACTAAAATAATATGAGATAAATCAGGCATAAATATCATTATTGTCATAACATCTCACATTACAAATTTTAAAGTTATGTACTACATAATTAACTTTTCATTCAACTTTTTAAATTAACTATTAGCAATGAGAAATGTACATATATTCTTTCTTTTTTATAATAAAAGACAAATTTATTCTTTTTTTAAAAGACATATAGGCAGTATTACAGTAAAAGGTGGAGATAGACCAGCTGATCCAATTTTGAGATTTTATAATTATTATATGATCATTGATCTAACCTATTGGAAAATAACTTTTTTTGATCATAATATAATAGTAGGAAATAAGAAATCCATCATTATCATGTGATAATTACATAATAATATTTAATTGTAATTTTCTCGAAGCTACAAAAATATTTCATCCCCTCTTTTGCTATGACATTACCCATATATCATGATTTTTATTTAAATAAAATATTGTACATAAATTTTTAAAGTCACGTTTATAACATTTAGAGTGTTAAAGATAAATACAAGAAAGTTAAAGACAAAAACAAAATATTTCAATATTATAAATATAGGCAAAAAGTCACATAATTTTAGAATATTCTTTACATTAATTAATCCGCTAAAAATACAGCCAATAAATAAACTGTTTGTAAATTTTGTATAAAGAAATATTCATTTTCTGTAATGTTAGTTAATGTTGGTTGCTTTGTTTTAAATAAAGTAAAACTTTGCTGCAGATATCTTGTAAAATTTTAAAAATCAAGTAATAGAAAGTAAAAGAAAAGAAATTCTAACTAGAAATATATCAGAAAATAATAAAAAAATTAAAAAGAAAAAAATTGATACAAAAAATATAAACATAATTGAAAGTACTAAATATTTAATAGTTTTAAATTACACTTTTCTTTTAAATTCTTTTAATTTTTTAATTTCTAACAGAAATATCAATATTCTTTTTTTATGATATAAATTTTTAGATTCTGAAAGTGAAATGAAAGTGATGAAGAAAATGATGGTGATGATGATGAAACTTCAATTCAATTATTAAAATTAATCATTACTACTTAATTACTTATTACAAATTATCTATCATGACCTTTAACAAAGAAAGATAAGCTATATTTTGAAATTTTATTATTACGAATGTTAGTTTCTTTTTACTTTTTTTGAAAATTAAGAAACAAAAGATGTATTTGAATTTATTGCTTTAACTTTAAAATTACTAAGTTAGAAAAGGATGAGTAACTGAATTTTACCAAAATCAACTAAAATTTTAACAGAATCTATTATAAAAATTGCATAAAATGATAAAATTAGAGTAGCAGTAATATTTGACACAGGTCAAAAGATGTCCAACTGGCAATTGTACTGATTAGTATATATTGACCAATCTGAAATCTTCAAATGGTTAAATAAAAAGCAATCCAGATACCATCATAAATTGGATATAATCAGAAAATTGCTGATTAATATTTAATGTTAATATTGAAGTTTCATATCAGTGTTTACTTATATGGCAGTTACATGTCAAACTACCAGTTGGAGTTTATTCATTATTTAAAGTCTAATATGTAAAATAAAAAGAACTGACTTTCAGATGATGTTTATAGTTAATATAGAAATTTCCTTATTGGTATTTATATATTTGTGATAATTTGTATATATGCTGAATGGAGAATATCAACTTAATAAAATTAATAAATCACTAATTTAATGAAATTAAATAATATATTACATATGACTATTATTACATATTGAATTTTTTTGTGATTGGAATAACAGCTATGTATGCAACTGGATTTCTTTTACCTATTTTATATTCACTTAGTATAAATTGACCAAGTATATTATGAACTGGTATGATACAATCCCTACTAATATTATAAAAACCTTTTGATCAAATTTCTATATTGCAGATCTAAACATCATCGTTAATTTGGAAGTAGAATCTTATATAATGACTTAGTGCTAGCTTGTACCATTTAACAAAAGCTAGTTCATGACTTTTCCTCCTATCTGGAAGGTTAACTTCATATTCAAAAAAGTACTGGATTTGTCTTAGATATATATCAACCGAACCATTTTCTGGCACGAATTTAGCAAGAATAAACGAATTCTTTAAATATCGAGACACGCTAGCTGATCCAAAGATTTCAGCTCCAATTTGAATACGTTTAAACTGATTTACTTAAGGATGGACAACAATCCTATGACCAGAACTTCTAGTATTAACTGAATCTGCAATCAATAAAAATTTCATGTCATAAGTATTATTATAATAGACTATTAGAATATTATATACATTATCTGGTAAACTAACATTAATTTTTTTAGGAGTAAGCATCTCTCTGAGAAAAGGCTCAGCACCTGTAGCTGTATTTTCAACTTCAAGCTGGTAGATCTGCCTAAAATGCCAAAGTTCATCAAATTCGAAATTATCATAAGCTACCAAGCTTCCTAAAGTTATCCTTGGCTTTATTAACTCTAGACCTTCAATAAGTATCATATTGTTTGATTAGAAAGATAAAAGGTTGTCGAACCGCTAATTCTGCATGATAATTTGTAGTAATTCCAGTTTGATCTGATAATGACTATTTGGGAAGGAGTCTAAAAATACAATCAGTTTATATAATATTAAAGTTTTGACAATAATTGGCATACAACTAACCTAAAATACCATTCATTATTTTGAATGAATAACACCAGAATGAATATATCAAATCGTAATTTATACAATATTCAGTAAGATGTAGAGAAAGATGAATGTTTAGAGTGATAAATTCTGATGCATAGTTTTTTTTGATCAATTTGATAACAAATAACAACCGGGTATGCATTTCATCTAATATATTTTTATCAATAATGCTTGATACTAATAGGAAGCATGCTCTAATGAAACTTGCCTAAATTTCTCTATCATCTTCATCTATAAGATTCCACATAATTGAGATTGCATATATCATTATAAATATTTTCCATTAGTTGGCAGTGTAATCAGAAAACACTCTCCATTAGCAATCTTGTAGGAAATTCAGCCAATATCAGAAGGGACTTTAATTTTACTTGCTCTTTTCTCTATTAACTCAAGGTTGGATTTTGTAATTTTTCTACCTTCTATCCATAATCTTTTTACAATCTAATGCGCTATTCCTAAAAATAAGTTATACATCAGATCTACTACTAGGAATCTGATTAGATCAAAATACAGCAAGTGAAGCATCTCTGACCACTAAATGTGAGTCTAACTCACGTGTTTTTTTTCAATCTTCTTTTATTTGTTGAAGCTTTCAGATCATTGCATTATGGTGATGTACTGAAATATCTTTCATTTTGTGCCACTTATCGATATCATCAAATCCTCCAAAGTTCAGCTTTTGCCTTTCTTCACCATTTGTCCTTTTGTAATACCTATAGCATCCAACTAATGCAGATATATGGCCACATAATTTTCTGGCAGTTGGTATATCATTGCTGTAGCAAATTATGGCCATTCTAATATTCTTACCAGTGGGATAATCATTAGTAGTTAGTAAATTAACACTATTCTAAAACTCCAGCAACTCGTCTATTATTAGAACTAAGTAATGATTGTTTTGTATAATTTGACCTCATCTGATTCTGGTAAAGGCTAAGCGTTAGTATGTATTCTTTTTTAAATTTTAGATCTTGGGAAAGATTACAAATGATACTGTATATCATATTACAACTGTACACTGATAATTCGAAAGGTTAGAACTAGTTGAGATTAATCATTATTCCAAGATTAGTATCTGCAGTCTCAGGTGTGAAAAATTGGGATGTTTGATCATTTTAGTGTAATGGAAAGGACTTCCAAATTTCACTACCGTAAATATCTGACATAACGTCAGTTACAACGTTTCAATTAGCCCATTTTTTTAAAAGTTCTTTGAATCCCGATCATTTATACATTATGACTAATTGGGTCTTTAAACATGGTAATAGGTATATAATTTTTGGATACCATTTGTAACCATTATTTATTAGAACCTTCACGAGCAATTCTGAATCACAGGATTTACGCTAGCTTTATTGGATGGTTTAAAAATTTGACATAAATGTATTTAAATCCTAATCTTGTATTATCATCTGAAATTATGTCTGTTAGGTTGTAAAGTTTGTTGCAATTAGTGCAAATAGTGAAAGACTTTGAGTTTTTTTTAATGTCATATTTTTCTAGCTATATATGCAGTTAATGAGAATCCTTTAAACCAGTTCGAATTAATATTTTTCAAAACAAGACTAAAGAAGCTGATTAATGAATTGATTGCAACATTAGAGAGTTTAAATCTTTTTTGATATTTGAAAATCCAGAGAAGTATCTATAAATTATTTATGTTTATATTATTATTCTGATCTAAATCATTAATATTAATGAAGATAAGAGCTGTAAACAATTTATCATCACTTAAGAATAATTCAAAATCTTCTAAATCTCGTTCGTTATCATCTAGGTCATCAGATAGTAGAAAGTCTTTCTCGTCATCAGATAAACCTTCTTCATCACCAGTTGAATAAACATGTTGCTCAAACACTTCATATAGAATAGTGATATCATTACTAGTATTATAAAAATGATCATATCTTCTTTATTTCCTTTTGATACAAACAGGCTTTCTAATAAAAACCTCTTCATTGGATCAGTTGTGATCATCATCTATCATTATAACATCATCTTCATGAGTATTTTCATGAACATCTTTACTAATTTCAAGTCTGAGACGATTTCTAAAATCAGAAAAATAAGTTGATGCTGATTCCTCTTTTTTTTACCTTTGTAATCATTAATCATTCATTTTGGTATCTGAAATGGTTTCGATTGTTCTTTATTGTAATAACAGCCATCATCAATTCGAGCTTGTTTCTTCAGAACTTTTGACAATTTATTAAATATACGATCAACATAATCGCGTAAAAATGATCATAACTACAAAATAAAAATTGGTTTGTATTTGGTTAACATATAATCATTGTCATTAATCTTACAATAACTGAGCATTATCTCAAGTCCTTTTTAACAATCTTTCTTCTACCAGAAGGATTCTCTTTATCAGTTTCTAAAATTTCAGGTGAGTGGTATGCAGAGTTATCTTGATCAGTAAAATCTCTTGATCCTCAAATAATTTAAGCAATAGATCGTTGATTTCTACTAAATGATCGATAATATTGATCCTATTCATTCATTTCTACATATTATAGTATAATGTATTATAATAAAATAAAATATTAAATATTAAATAATTAAAAAGGAAAAAATGGAATTTATTTACATCATTTCTTCAACTATTTATATACTTTCGTCTGACATGCTCATCTTGTTTAGTCAACAGTTATTATTTCCTTAAATATTCTTCGCATTTAGTTTTATGATGTTTGTGAATCATATCATATATGATACCTTCTAAAACTGAAACATATTCAAATCTAAAGCTTTCATAACAGCCAGAACTATTTTATTGTTAACAAAATTTGTTGAGAATCAAATGTCTGTTTCAATTTCAATTGATTATGAGTTAGCAATCTCTCAACAACCCAAAATATTTGATGCTAAATATAAAAGAATATTGTTAGTATGCAGTGAAAAGAAATAAATAAAAAATACTTACTTTTAAAGCTTCTCAGACGTCATTAGGCAGAACATTGATAAAGTGATATCTAGGATTTCTATCACAATCCCGTTGGCTGAGACTCTGAGGCAGTGACTGGTTTCTATTAAGATTCCGTTAGCTGCAACTCTAAAGTGGTGACTGGCTTCTATCATGATTCCGTTGGCTGTAACTCCAAGGTGGTGAGTGGCTTCTTTCATAATCCTATTGGCTGTGACTCTGAGGTGGTGAGCTTAAAGAACTAGATATAGAAATTGAGCTTGAATAGCTTGATTAAATATGCAAATTTTCTGACCAGTTATCATCCAAATTAATTATATTAGATTGTCCTTGTCGTGAAGTATTGCCTGTTTCTGGATTTGTTATTTTTACTTTATCAATAATCTTCATTTTATCATTTAGGAATGCTTTGAATATATTTTGAATCTCACTGTCTTATAAAAATAAGGCAACTTGATTTAATATATGTAAATAATATTATATAATAAAAAATACAATATAAATATATATGTCAATAAAAATTAAAATTACCTTCAACTCATTTTCCTTTCTCCTTCTCAAGATGTTCATATGACAGAGAACTACACAACAGCTATGAATATTATTACATAAATAAATCGAGCAAATATTATAATTTTATAACTTGCCGGTTGTGTCTCTCAGAAGAATGATGTTTATCACCATTTCTATTATCTCTGTTTCTTCTTCTATCGCAACTACTATCCCTATTTTTTCTAACAAAAATACTTGAACGTCTTCTGTCATGACTTCCATAGTTGTTACCTGAACGTTCTGTATTGTGACTACTTCTTGAGTGAAATCCGTTTCTACTACATTCAAAATAAAGAGAGGTATTTCTATTACTGATCCTACCATGAGCACCACGATCTATAATATAGTAGAAAGAGAGTTTTTTTTTAAATCGTTCAAAAATATTGTTCTTTTATATTACTAAAAAAAGTATGCAAAAAATATATCATAAAATAGCATATATACTATTGATGTATCTTTGACATTGAATAAACTTTGCATTACTACAACTAGCATGCGTTATTTCATTTCCTGATCTTTCATAAATTTAAAACTGTCTCATACCTTTTTAAGAAAATGAATTGATTAATAACGTCAATACCTAAAAGAATTACAAATGTTTGACCTAAAGTACTATGTTATTGTAAAGTATATAATGGTAAACTTGTTGATACAAGAACTAGAAAAAACCATGAAAATGAAGAAATTCAACTTTAAGATTTAGTCAACAAATGGATTAGCAAAGGTAAAAAAAAGAGGAATCAGCATCAACTTATCTTCCTGATTTTAGAAATCGTCTCAGATCTGAAATTAGTGAAGATGTTCATGAAAATGCTTATGAAGATGATGCTGTAATGATAGATGATGATCACAACTGATCCAATGAAGAGGTTTTTATTAGAAAGCCTGTTTGTATCAAAAGGAAACAAAGAAGATATGATCATTTTTATAATACTGGTAATGATATCACTATTTCATATGAAGTATCTGAGCAATATGTTTATTCAACTGGTAATGAAGAAGGTTTATCTGATGACAAGAAAGGTTTTTTACTATCTGATTACCTAGATGATAACAAACGAGATTTAGAAGATTTTGAATTACTCTTAAATGATGATAAATTGTTTACAGCTCTTGGCTTTATTAATATTAACGATTCAGATTAGAATAATAATATAAACATAAATAATTCATAGATACTTCTCTGGATCTTCAAATATCAAGAAAGATTCAGACTCTCTAATATTGCAATCAATTCATTAATCGGCTTCTTTAGTCTTGTTTTGAAAAATATTAATTTAAACTGGTTTAAAGGATTCTCATTAACTGCATATATAGCTAGAAAAATATGACATTAAAAAAAACTCAAAGTCTTTCGCTATTTGCACTAATTGCAATAAACTTTACAACCTAACAGACATAATTTCAGGTAATAATACAAGATTAGGATTTAAATACATTCATGTCAAATTTTTGAACCATTTAATAAAGCTAGCGTAAATCCTATAATTCAGAATTTCTTGTGAAGGTTCCAATAAATAATGGTTACAAATGGTATTTAAAAATTGTATACTTATTACCATGTTTAAAGACCTAATTAGCCATAATGTATAAATGACTGGGATTCAAAAAACTTTTAAAAAAATAGGCTAAGAGATGTTGTAACTGATGTTATATCAGATATTTACGGTAGTGAAATTTGGAAGTCCTTTTCATTACACTAAAATGATCAAATATCCCAATTTTTCACACCTGAGACTGCAGATACTAATCTTGAAATAATGATTAACCTCGACTAGTTCTAACCTTTCGAATTATCATTGTACAGTTATAATATGATATAAAGTATCATTTGTAATCTTTTCTAAGATCTAAAATTTAAAAAAGAATACATATTAACGCTTAGCCTTTTATCAGAATTAGATGAGGTCAAATTACACAAAACAATCATTACTTAACTCTAATAATAGACGAGTTGCTGGAGTTTTAGAATGATGTCAATTTACTAACTACTAATGATTATCCACTAGTAGGAATATTAGAATGGTCGTAATTTGCTGCAGCAATAATATACCAGCTGCCAGAAAATTATGTGGCCATATATCTGCATTAGTTGGATGCTATAAGTATAACAAGAGGGCAAATGGTAAAGAAAGGCAAAAGCTGAACTTTGGAGGATTTGATGATATTGATAAGTAGCACAAAATGAAAGATATTTCAGAACATCACCGTAATGCAATGATCTGAAAGCTTCAACAAATAAAAGAAGATTGGAAAAAATACGTGAGTTAGACTCACGTTCAGTGGTCAGAGATGCTCTACTTGCCATATTTTGATCCAATCAGATTCCTGGTAGTAGATCTGATGCATAACTTATTTTTAGGAATAGTGCATTAGATCGTAAAAAGATTATAGATAAAAAGTGGAAAAATTACAAAATCCAACCTTGAGTTAATGGAGAAAAGAGCAAGTAAAATTAAAGTCCCTTCTGATATTGGCTGAATTCCCTACAAGATTGCTACTGGATAGGGGTTTTCTGGTTACACTGCCTACTAATGGAAAATATTCATAATGATATATACAATCTTAATTATGTGAAATCTTATAGATGAAGATGATAGAGAAATTTAGGCAAGTTTCGTTAGAGCATGCTTCCTATTAGTATTACGCATTATTGATAAAAATATATTAGATAAAGCATACGTTCGGTTGTTATTTATTACCAAATTGATCAAAAAAAATTACAGACTAGAATTTATCACTCCAAACATTTATCTCTCTCTCTATCTTACTGAATGTTATATAGATTACAGTCTGATATATTCATTCTAGTGTTATTCATTCAAAAGAATGATCAGTATTTTAGGTGAGTTGTATGCTGATTATTGTCAAAACTTTAATATTATATAAATTGATTGTATTTTTAGGCTTCCTCCCAAATAGTCATCGTCAGATCAAACTGGAATTACTACAAATTATCATGCAGAATTAGCGGCTTAACAACCTTTTATCTTCTCAATCAAACAATATGGTACTTGTTAAAAGTCTAGAGTTAATAAAGCCAAGGATAACTTTAGGAAGCTTGGTAGCTTACGATAATTTCAAATTTGATGAACTTTGGCATTTTAGGCAGATCTATCAGCTTGAAGTTGAAATACAGCTACAGTTGCTAAGCCTTTTCCCAGAGAGATGCTTACTCCTAAAAAAAATTAATGTTAGTTTACTAGACAATGTATACAATATTCTAATAGCCTATTATAATAATACTTATAACATGGAATTTTTATCGATTGCAGATTCAGTTAATACTAGAAGTTCTGGTCATAGGATTGTTATCCATCCTCAAGTATATCAGTTCAGACGCATTCAAATCAGAGCTGAGATCTTTGGATCAGCTAGTGTGTCTCAATATTTAAAGAATTCATTTATTTTTGCTAAATTCGTGTCAGAAAATGGTTCAGTTGATGTATATCTGAGACAAATCCAATACTTTTTTGAACATGAAGTTAACCTTCCAGATAGAAGGCAAAGTCATAAACTAGCCTTTGTTAAATGGTACAAACCAGTACTAGTCATTATATAAGATTCTACTTTCAGATTAATGATAATATTCATAGAGTTCCGAATGAGTCGTGTCAAGTCGAGTTTAAAGATCAACTCTATTTGACTCTCTTTTTTTGAGTCGAGTTGAGTCAAATTTATTTTATAAAATCTTTCAATTTGATTTGATTCAAGTTATATAAATTTTAAACTCAACTCAATTTGACTCGATTTGATTTTAACTCAATTCGATTTTGAAAAAAAATAATAAAAAAAAATGAAAAGATTGGGAGAAGGAGGAGAAAGTAAACGATTCGTTATCATTCTTCTTGAATGATTTTTTTTATCGTTCAAATCGAACGATTTCTTATCGTTCTTCTTGAATGATTTTTTTATCATTCAAGTCAACTCAAGTCAACTTGAATCAAGTCGATTTTAAATCGAGTTGAGTTAAATATTTAACTCAACTAGAATTTGGCTTGACTCACAAATCATCGAGTCAAAAAAATATAAATTCAACTTGATTTAAACTCGCCTCAACTTATCTGACTCGTGAGTTAACTTGACTCATCCGGAACTCTAGATATTTAGATCTGCAATATAGAAATTTAGTCAAAAGGTTTTTATAATATTAGTAGGGATTGTATCATACCAGTTTATAATATACTTGGTCAATTTATACCAAGTGAATACAAAATAGGTAAAAGGAATCCAGTTGCATACATGGCTGTTATTCCAATTATAAAAAAATTTAATATGTAATAATAGTCATATGTAATATATTATTTAATTTCATTAAATTAGTGATTTATTAATTTTATTAAGTTGATATTCTCCATTCAGCATATATACAAATTATCATAAATATATAAATAAATACCAATCAGAAAATTTCTATATTAACTATAAATATCATCTGAAAGCTGGTTCTTCTTATTTTTACATATTAGACTTCAAATAATGAATAAACTCTAACCGGTAGTTTGACATGTAACTATCATACAAGTAAACACTGATATGAAACTTCAATATTAACATTAAATATCAATCAGCAATTTTCTAATTGTATCCAATTTATGATGATATCTGGATTGCTTTTTATTTAACCATTTGAAGATTTCAGATTGGCCAATATATACCAATCAGTATAATTACCAGTTGGACATCTTTCGATCTGTGAAGTATAATAAATAAATTTTATTAAATAAATATAATAATAAATTCAAAAATTAAAATTACATTTTTTTTAAAAAAGATAATATATTATATATTATTTATTTTAATATTATTAAAATTAATTACTATAATTAAAAAAATATAATTACAATACAAAATAACTTATAACAAATTAAAAAAGAAAGCAAGTATTTTAATAATTTAAATTTTTAAATTTAATTAATATAATCTATATTTAAATATAAAAAACTAAATAAATTATAATCAAAAGAAATATATTAATATATTTTTAATAAAGAAATTTTAATTATTATTTTATATTAATAAAAGAATTATAAATTAAAATCAAATATAAACTAAGAAATAGAAATTGTCATTAAGTCTATAGTAATTTTAATTAAAAAAATTTAACTTTATACAATTATAAAATTAATAAGCATTAACATAATATTAAATAAATAAATAAAATAGATATTTTGATTTTATTAAAATATATATATAGTCTTTTACATGCTTCAAACTAATTATTTTTATATTTTATTTTAATATTAAAATATATAAAAGAATTTATAAATTGGAGTTATTGTTAAATTATAAAACTTTATATTTTCTTTACTAATATTTCAAAT